AGATGCTAATGAGCCCTTTTAGCATCACATGTATCAAAACTGTACCGATTTAGTGCTGTCATTGAGCGATAAGTTATTTGATGATATATGATGTTTTAACGCGCTGGTTTGAATGCCCAAGACCTCTTGTTCGTGTCTGATAGCAGCTAATGGCAGCTAATAAGCACGCGTACACTAGGGTGCGGTTCAACTGGGGTGTTGTTCGAGCACCCATAACACAAGGAGCGCACGGAGCTTCGCCACTGGAAATCAACTTTCGTCTAGCAGATTGGCAATGTAGTTCCGACATGCCTAGATGGCGAGAATGGCGTGCACCGCATGCACTTTGATATTACAGTACGTCAAGAGCTTGGCAGTGTGCGCGGCTGTGTCAGGTTAGGGCTGTGCTTGGCAGATGCTTGGCTCTTGTTTAAGCATGTTTAAGCTGCTTTTCCAGTAATTGGCAGGCAGCTAGACTTGACATGAACCTCACGCAAGTCCTCATCCTGGCGGAGAGTACATGTTGGCAAGCTGTGTGCAGGGGATGATATTTGTAAGATCTTGTAAGATATTATCGAAAGAAGTTTAGAAGTCAAACTTCTGACAATATGGACAGGTGGAAAAGCAGAGGTGGGAAGAGTCAGAGAAGAGAAGAGAAGAGAAGAGAAGAAGAGAGAAGTCAGAGAAGAGAAGAGAAGAGAAGAAGAGAGAAGATCAGAGAAGAGAAAGAGTTAGAAGAAATAAGATGCAGGTGCGCGAAAAGGTACATAAGTCGCGATTCACTAAGTTTTTCTAATGATTTGTGGCTCCGGAGGGTCAAAATGTAGGCTCGCCAAAGCGGCGGGTGCGGAGCCATCTGGCCAGATGAGAGATGAAAAAGTGCACGCCGCTGTAGCGCGAAGCACGTTTCGAAGTCAAAACGCACAAAACACGACAGCTTCGGAGCACTTTTAGGAATTGAGATGTCGAAAAAGTGCACGCCGTTCTGACGCGAAGAACATTTCGAAGTCAAAATGTGCAAAGCACGTCAGCTTCGGAGCCCTTTTAGGAATTGAGATGTCGAAAAAGTGCACGCCGTTGTGGTGCGAAGCACATTTCGAAGTCAAAATGTACAAAACACACCATTGTCGGACCACTTTTGGAAGTTGAGATGTTGACAAGTGCAAGGTTGTGGCGCGAAGCATATTTCGAAGTCCAAAGCGTAATAAAAAACTGACGGGTTAGGAGCACGTTTGGACGTTCAGATGTCGTTTTGCGTGGCAGCCGCAAGGGATTCTGCACGTTGTCAAAAATAAGCAAAACGCGAGGGTTTTGTGGCATCAGGCGTGGGTCATTTTTGAACAGGATCTGGAAAGGGTGTATTTCGCGTGGCAGGCGCAGTACAAGAGACATGTTCATCAGATTCATCAGAGATGTTAGGAGGTCAGGGTGCTGATTTCTTGAGAGGGGGTGCATTTTGGATCATCAGATCTTCAGGTTTGCTATAAGATGATTTTTGCGCCACAGGTGCGGCACTTCGTATGACTTGGCATCACTTTTTCGTGGCAGGGGCAATGCTGCAGACAGATGGAGTGCAAAAATCGCAAAACGAATTGCCACGAGGCCGTCAGCTTTGCATTCAACTGTCCATTTTTGAAGGAAGTCTCGCCGAATTGCTTCGGTTTTGCTCTTGTCAACTTCGAAAATTGAGGAAGTCTTGCAGAATTGCTGCGTTTTTGATGTTGCCAAGCTTAAATTTGAGGATGTCTCGCAGAAAAGCTTCGTTTTCAACCTTGCAGATAGACAGATAAATGGATAGATGGACAGACAACTACAACTACGACTGCAACTACATTTTACACTACCACTACAACTACAAATGCAAATGCAAATTTACTACGCTACAGTACACCAATTACACTACACTACACTAATAACAGTACACTCCACTAATTACACTACAACTATAACTACAACTACAGCTACTATTACTGCTACAGCTACAGCTACAACTACACTACATTACACTACACTAATTACATTACACTACACTAGACTACAGCTACAAATACACATGCAAATACAACTACACTACATTACACAACAGTACGCTACACTAATTACATTAATTACATTAGAACTACAACTACAACTACAACTACAACTACACTACTTGACCTTACACTACACTAGACTACACTACACACACAAGGCTACATTACAGCACACAACACTACAGCACACTACACTACATTACATTACACTACACTCATTACACCACACTACAACTACAACTGCAACTACACTACACTAATTACACTACACTACAACTACAGCTCCACAACACTACAACTACAACTACAGCTGCACTACACCACACTACATCCAGCAGTTGTGGGTGAGGTGACCACTGCAACCATTGCAACCGCTCAAAAAAACAAAATCCGACCACACCTTTAGATCCATCAGTGGGTTCGCTTTGCGATCCATGCATCACAACAACTCACCTCTCCTATAATGTCCTATCTTTGAAACTTCCGCCACCGCCTTGTGCGGCACTGCTGGTATAATTACAAGTTCAGTGTGTAATCATGCATCTCGCGAATGGAAGTACGGCATATGGTTTCAATCCCTTTTTTGCATTGTTTTGCAAACTTCCCATCTTCGTTCAAAGCTGAGAGTGGTAGAGTGTAGAGTTACACTTGCTTTGGTGTTCTGATATGCGCATTTGGATTTGACAGAGACTGGCATGTGGGGTCCCGAAAGCATGGAGTAATCAAAGCCTGGTGAATGTTTGAACGGCAAATTTTGGATTGCATCCAGCACCGCAAGCCGTTGAGGAAGTCGGCATTGGACCCTACTCTGATGTAGCGGATCGTTGGGGTCGTGAGTATTTTCTCAACTACCGCATGGAGGATCCGGGGAGGAAGGACAAGGGTAGGACCAGATGCAGGTTCAAAGGTAAGTGGATGGTTGACAAAGTAGTAAGGCTCCAGCCAGGTTCAAAGGTAAGTGGATGGTTGACAAAGTAGTAAGGCTCCAGCCAGAGGACCTTGATATTATATATATTTGTTTTACATGTTTTCGCGGTATGCGTATCCCGTACAGACGAGCGTTCTATGCAGACCAACAGGACATGGTGATGCATGCTCCTTACAACGTATCTTGCTTGCAAATAAGCTGACAGCAGATCTAAAAATATCTTACCTACTTGGGCCCTTACAGACCCTAAGAGATCTTCACAGACCATACAGACCCTTAGAGATTCTTCTAGATCCTTATATAGTGTATTCAGAGCGTTTGGAGCCCATCCCAAATGTTAGCCAGTGATTAAAAGTCAGCGATGCCAAACCAGCGCAGTAAAGCAAGGCTTATGGCGACATGATGCCAGATCCACGAAAGATTGAGAGTTCCTTTGCGGCAGTGGATCCAGTCATGCATCGTGCTTGTGGATGTGCACAGTTGGGATTTGCCTTCCCGATTTGCCATTGTTTGCCATTGTACTTGTGGCTTTGAATATGTTGGCATCAACTCTGGGAGGCATCAAGCTGTCATTCACAAGAATAGCAACATATGGTAACCTCTGAGTAAAACTTGTCCGAACATTTCGTCTCAGGCAACGCAGCCATCCACTGGCGTGGCAAAGCTCACATTTTCATGCCTTGTTTGGAGATCAACCAGTTACGCCCTCAACTTTGAGTTTGACAGCAAGCTTTCAACAGTACGGTAGATTTTGTCAGTGTATCAAATTTAATGCTTTGCTTCTCTCTGCTAGCCAAAGATGTTGGGCCAAGATCTTTCTGCAGGTTCTGGGCATCTCCATATCCCATCAGTTTTCACGATTACAAGGCAGATTCCTTGAAATGTGCAGTGGGAGAGCTGGCCCATCAGTGTCAAAACGCCAGAAGATCAAACAATCCCAATCAACGAGTAACAATGCCAGAGGGGCAATGAAGCATGCGGAGGGTTTCAGAAGTCCTGCCCAGATTTCTTCTCCGATTTGTGTCCCAGGACACCAGCCAGCTGCGACATGCGTCTCGACAAGACTCCATTCGTATCCATTCGTCCCAATGCCATACAAGTTGGTCGTAGAAGTGTTAATTATTTGCCTCATTGATGCCCCTGCTTCATGTATTTCCTTATTTTGGGGAATCATAGCCACAAGGAGAGGGGGAATTTGTCATTCGTCCTGCTAAAATGGTTAAGTTCTTCCCCTTGTACCGGGGGTGGCTGCACATAACTTTGGATACATGAAAAGCGTCAATAGCAGTCGCTCCATCCATATGGGGGCTTTGCTGATCATCCACGGTGCAATATCCCACCAGCCCGCACCACTGATCATTGTTTGGAACAGATACCACACGTTTTTCACCAGTGTGGTCATGTGACCACAACTATTGTGGGGCCTAGGTGCACGATATCTTCATGGGCACAGCGAAATGCGAAGGTTGCCCAGCTGGCTACAATCCATCAATTGCCAAAATGGAGGAAAAAACAGACACTGGAGCGCCTGTGCATTTTATGTGATGTAGCGCCATTAGTTGTAGATTGGATCGCGATGCACCAGTGAGTTTCCAATACTTGGGGAGAGATTCAGCAGAAGATCAAATAGCTACTCCTTTGCAGCTGCCGTGAAGTGAGAGTGAACTCCATGGCACCACCGGCATTTTCAGCTTCCCTGTTCCCGCTTTACACAATGCATCAGCATTTCAGATATTTCAGTTTGCGACATGACGAAGTGATTGGTCTGAACCAAGCTACCCAGACACCCCAAGCGGCTTGTTTACAAGCCGGCCCTGGTTAAGAGCTGGCCTTAGCTTTGCGCACGTCAAATCAGTGGAGCAAGCAAAGAGACCATTTTCGAGTCTTCATGGCTGGCTGGGCGTGCAATGGTGTGCAAGACGCAAGCCAACCAATTACCTTGCTTAATTGCAAATTTCAAATAGATTTGACCCCCAAGGTGCGTCACGGTTGTTCCCTTGTAAAAGGGATGTTCAGCACGCAAGAAGGCATGGAAGTTTCACAACCTATGGCACTTCGAGATGGACACGCGAAGAGCAGGCGTGTTTGCAGCGGTTGCACGTGTTGTGTCCAGGTTTGGGTTTATGAGGTTTATGATGCGTTTGGGGAACATGCGCATTTGCAAGTTTTAAAAGCCATTCCAGGCCGTTGATACAAAACCGGGACCAACTGGGACCACATCAAATTTCACACACGGCGGATCAGGACTGGCACTTTGTCAGACCACTTGTGATTTGGTGTGCGGCAACACACTTTGGGAGGCTTGCTGCTTATTTTACTATGTGGATCCAGCTTGGTGGTTTGGAATCTTCGAACTATCGACTCATCGGTTGGCCAGGACCGATAGTGATAGTGACACCACATGAAACCACACTACATGATACTACAAGCAGATGCACGGAGATACCAATAATACTGAACTGCAGAATGTTGCTGATTTGCATTTTACATGTTGACTTTGTCACTCCGGCAAGAATTCAGGAATTTGAAGAAGCCACGAACGGCAGTACGGTGCAGTAGACCAATGTGGAAAAATTACGTCCATCTGACAGAATGCCATCACAAGTCAGTATCTATTCTCAGATAGGAGGCTGCTTAATGGGAAGGAAAGTCTCTCCAAAGAAAGCTGGATGTTTCAAGTTTCAACTATCGCTCAATATATAGATGCCTGGAAAGTAGCAAAGTAGCGTGGCACCGGTGATATGTGAGTGGTTGGAATTCAGCCAATGAGGATTGTCTCCGTTTAGCTTAGTCAATGTGACAAAGCATTAGGAGGCTGTTTCCCATTGCCTGCAACTTAGCAACACAGTGCAGGAGAGTCCAGAACTGATGTCGGAGTGGGAGCCCTGGGCTGCGTGTCACGTGCTGTTCCTAAGGGATTCCTAAGGGATTCCCACGGGATTCCTACGGGCCTGCCTCAGACAGCTGCATTTTCCCTCAGATGCAAGAAGATCAAGAAATGCGTTCAACCTAAATATACCATTGCTCATCAGCTATCGGGCACACGCTATGGAAATCTATGAAGCCCCAGGGTTGAAGTCAAAGCATCAAACATGCGCACAGACCACTGGACAGCGGAGAGAGTGCACTTGCACGTAGACAACTACCAGAGAGAGAGAGAGAGAGAGAAGATTGCCCTTGCACACTTCCCACACCAAGATATACAAAGCAAAATGCCAGACAAATAATACGCAGTTCAGTTGCTAACAGGTTTGGCCACTGATGTCCTACGCAGACGGAATCCCTCGCATTCCTTTGTGAGCAACGACATGGTGAGCATGCTGGTCGGTGCGTGTCAACATGTGTAGCACATCTGCGAAGGAATGTGGACACAATGGGCCGAAGGAACATGAAGATTTTTTTCTCAGATTTCGGCCAGTTGGCTTCCAGGTCCAAAGATGGCTTCGACAAGTTGGCACCAGGGCAGTCAATGGCCTATGATGCTCAGCGAAGCAGATGATGGAATAGAAATGAATAGAATAGGTTGCCGTAATTACTACCCTTGATGCCAGGCGTTGAATCACTCTGGGAAGTAAAGCTCAATGGAATTCAAGGCAGTCAGCAGGCTTGAAGGCAGGAAACAGGAAACATGATGAAACATGAGCAATGTGGTTGCCAGCACCTGCCAGCACCAAGGAAAGCATGAGCTCGGCCATGAAAAAAATGCTGGAACCTCTCACCGTGGCTTGGCCCAACAATGGAAATAACAGGAAACAAAGCCTGCACAGATCGGGCATCCTCCATCTTGGCATATTCTTGCCAACCGCCCGAAGAGGTTCGATGCAGGGCACATAATGGATTGGCAATGATGGTCATTTGCTTCAGCACTGCCTTTCTCAAACCGTGGCAAAGATTGCAAAACGATAGACCCAGCTAGTTCAGTCCAGTTTTGCAAACCCGTGCGCTTGGATGACCTAGTTGCAATATGGTGCAATGCTTTGGATATCTTAAACACGGTCAGTTGGATTATGTTGGATTGATATCAAGTTATATCAAGCATGGTTTCTCAAGACTCTCAAGACATCCTGCGCAACAGGAGTTGAATCGACCAAAAATCCGCAGGATGTGGTGGTGCTCCGGACTTGGGCGGCACCAAACTGGCTTCACGTAGTCTCAGGGTCAGGCAAAGACCGTGCCACGCGAGAGCTACGCACACGAAAGCTTCGAGAGTGTCACCCGGACGGTGAGTCTTGCAGCCACGGTGGAATAATGTGGGATATGGGATTGGGTAAATATTGCTCGATTTTGAGCGGTTTTGTGTGCGGGTGTGCGAAGCAATAGATCAAAAGAATGTTTCCGCAAAGTGATGTGTAAAGCAGCGAAAGCAGGTGCAGTCTAAAGCAATAGCTCGCTGTACTGCTTTTGCCTCCTCCACAATCCTCTTCATTTCAAATATTTCAATTCACTATAGTTGTCGGCTTGAACAGATATTGGGACGGATGGGAACGCTGAGAGGTCCTTTGACATTGCTAATGCAATGGGTTCTTGACGAAGGATGTGCAACTGGACTGCATGGGTACAGTGACTGCTTATGCGCACTTCTAAATACTAGTAGCATCATTATCTATATTTTATTTTTTATATATTATATGTAAATGATTGTATATGTATATATTTACAAATTATATATTATATAATATATATATATACATATTAATTATATATATATATTATAGATATTATATATATACATTTGCTTTGGTCAAAATGGTTGAAGATCACTGTAGTATTGCAGAAGCACTTTTGTCCGAGACTTGCACGAAACACTGTAAAGCGCTAGGGCCACCCCAGATAATGGCACAAAACACTGAAAAGCGATATGGCCCCGAAAAGTGACAACCGATAATAGCAACTACTGAGATGTAAAGGATTTTGACAGGAGCTCAAATATTCTATAAATATACATATATTACGCATATTTAATTATACAGACGGTATATTATATATATATATGTGTGTGTGTTTTTTTAATCCATATTTGTTGGGATATAATACGTATGATATGTACGTATGTGTGTATGTGTGTGCACACTATTGAAGGCGGCATGGCAGTGAAAGTGGGTTCCTGCAAAGCAAATGCAGTTGATGCAAGATTCGTTGTAGAAACCAACCTTTTACAAAGCGCTTCCTGGAGGTATTTCCTAAAGTATAGTCCTTATCTTTGTCTGCCATGCGCTTGGCGACCATGCGCTTGGCGACCATGCGCTTGGCGAAGTGCCATATCTTTTCACGTGTGTTTTACATGCAGGTTGCCTTTCTCGTCTTTGCAGTGACCCATATAATTTACAACTGGGCTAGCTCCCCTTTCCATTTCGGCTTGAGGCTTGCGAGTCTTCGCCATGGTTTTTCACACCATTCTTATTGAGAAAATTTGAGAAAGTATTATGAAAGCATGCAAAATTCATCAAAATTCTACACTTGTTTCCTTGCAGCAAGCAGTCCATGGATTGACGGGATCAGGTGCCATGCTTGCCTATGGTGACCTGAAACATACGTTGTTTGTTTGTGTGCACCAGTCAGAAGCTGACTGCTGCATGTACAGTACTTCTTTGTGAGGTTGATTGGGTGCCCGACTTCCTTGAGCTTCCAATAATGTCGGACCTGCAAGACACTCACATCAATCGCACTTTTCATGCCCATTCCTCTCTTGCCAGTGGTATGCCTGCTCGCAACCATTATTGAGCCCCATGCCGGCACAGTCGCTTCAGGAGTTGGCCGATTGCTAGCAGTATTTTATGGCTCGTAGCAGTCCATGACCATGTGGGACACTCCGATAACTCGGCCCAACTACTTCTACAAGAGGCCAGACCCTTTGCACTGCGGTATCGCTATGACCTCAGAAAAGAAAACCAATGACATGAGCATACATGATCCACATATGATCCACATATCCTTTGCTAAAAGTCAGCCCATCATATCCCACACATGTAGAGGTGGTCGAATAATGTCTATCAAAAACAAAAGGATATTAAATTACCAGTGAGATCGAATTGTCAAGGTGATCGGCCCCTGGTTAAACATGTCTATCCTCGTTTTTCTCCCGCCAAGATAGGAACTTATCCTACTGCATTGCTGCCTTGAATCTCTCCGTGTGGAAGATAGGCACGTAGGGTTTCATTTTCCAGCATGTGTTCTGTGGAAATCCAGGTGTTCCAGATGTTATTCCCCCGCCCCTATGAGTACACTTTGCAAATCTTTGCAATGTGATTACATCGATCTTGATCTTACTCTTAGCATGTTTTACCCACAAATTGGACAAAATCACAAGAGGGAAAAAATGCCATTTGCCAGACAAGTCTTTCATGCAACCCCACCCCAAGCTTGCAAAGGGGAGATGCCCTTCGCAAAAACCCTCCGCAATATCACCAATAAAGGACGCTGCAAAAGCATACCAACTTTGGCACATTCTGCAAAACAGACATGACACTGATGACTCAGAGACTCACTCTCATTCTCGGCGCTTTGCCATGCTGTGTGTATGATGCGTTTTTTCCGCGATGTCCCAGAGAGATGCTATTTGCCTTTTTTCCCGAGTGTTTACTGCAATATTTTTTAGTTGACGACAGATCACCTGAAGGAGGCAAGCAACTAGCTGTGCGCCTGTTCATTCAGATATACTATGATATATTATTATGATATTTACAGTATTCAGAAGTTTCACTTATGTCCACTTCCTGTTTGTTTAGAGCTGAGGTTGAGCACCACTCCATGGTCATTGATATTGGTTCCTTTGATCAAGAATCTTGGAATGGCGTGTTTTGGCCCCATAATTCCACGCGTACCAAGCATGCACACCTTCAAGATCATTCAAGACATCTGGAGAAACTTCTCGAAGTCTGATAGTCTACCCAGAGGAATGATTTCGAAAGTTTAAGGTCTGTGTTGGTGTGTGTGTGTGAGGTTTTTGGTGTGAAAATGCTGCCCAGCAGGCGTGTGACTTGCATATTGCATCCATACGTGTACATATACATATCATATAGTCATTTAATATATGTATAGTACTTGCATCCGAACGCTTTCATCCGACTTCCGAGGCATGAACCTCGGTTGGTTCACAGCTTTGGCTGCAGCCAATGGTCTTCAGGTTGTGGCTTTTGAGCCTAGCCCTGCCAGAATACAGCAGCTCAGAGGAACACATTGTTAGGCTTAGAATGCGAATCTGGGACAGTGATAAGTAGTAAGTGCACAACCCATTTTTTCTGCCGAGCACACCAAGACAAGAAGGCGGCAAGGCCGCACCTGTTTCCAATTTTTAAATATCGAAAGAATGCTTAGGGCTTAGGGTTCACCAAAACGATCGTAGCGATGCCCAGCTTATTCGCTTCATATGACAAACAAACGTGGTAGGAGCTTTGTACAAGCGCTAGGGTTAAGTCGTATCAGCTCGTTACAGTCGTGCGCCTGCAATAAGTTCGATTTTGGCATCACAACAACTTTTAGTAACTGAATTATTTCGTTGTTTTGGAGCCGTGCGCTTGGAAAAAATTCAATTGTTGTTTCAATTGTGTATTGCGCCAACTTTTAATACTTATATACTTATCATTAATCATTCATTCAAGGGGCATAGACTGGTTGCTGCTGCTTCCTTGCTGCTGCTTGCTTGCTGCTGCTTTCTTGCTGCTGCTTGCTTGCCTGCTGCTGCTGCTGGCTGCTGCTTGCCTGCTGCTGCTTGCTTGCTGCTTGCTTGCCTGCTGCTTGCTTGCCTGCTGCTTGCTTGCCTGCTGCTGCTGCTGGCTGCTGCTTGCCTGCTGCTGCTTGCCTGCTGCTGCTTGCCTGCTGCTGCTTGCCTGCTGCTTGCTTGCTTGCTTGCTGCTTGCTTGCTGCTGCTTGCCTGCTGCTTGCATGCTCCTGCTTGCCTGCTGCTGCTTGCTTGCTGCTGCTTTCTTGCTGCTGCTTGCTTGCCTGCTGCTGCTGGCTGCTGCTTGCCTGCTGCTGCTTGCCTGCTGCTGCTTGCTTGCCTGCTGCTTGCTTGCCTGCTGCTTGCCTGCTGCTGCTTGCCTGCTGCTGCTTGCCTGCCTGCTGCTTGCTTGCCTGCTGCTTGCCTGCTGCTTGCCTGCTGCTGCTTGCTTGCTGCTGCTTGCTTGCTGCTTGCTTGCTTGCTTGCTGCTGCTTGCCTGCTGCTTGCATGCTCCTGCTTGCCTGCTCCTGCTTGCCTGCTGCTGCTCGCCTGCTGCTGCTTGCCTGCTGCTGCTTGCCTGCTGCTGCTCGCCTGCTGCTTGCTTGCCTGCTGCTGCTTGCTTGCTGCTTGCTGCTTGCCTGCTGCTTGCATGCTGCTGCCTGGTGCAAACATGTTACTTAAAACGGAAATATCAGTCTCGGTCGCCTTGTTTGGCGCTGGCGGGAGGTATGGGCGGGAGACACCAGCAGAAGGAGGGAATGTGTATGTTTCTGGCTGGTTGGAATGAAAGGTTTTACTCCAAGTTGTAATCGCTGGGCGGACAGGATACAGATAACAAACTTCTTGAGAGCTGTCCACGACCTTGATGCATATCGCGCCAACATAGACTTGGCTGCGGGAAACAAGGGGCCCCTATATCCCTATATCATATCCCTGCCAAAAGGATTTGCTGCCAAGAATTTGTTTGTATTGACTTGTGGCCTTCAAAACCGTCGCTGCGCAAAATGCTTCGTCTACTTCTAACTAAATCTCCAATTACAGATGAAACAGGCTGTGCCATGGTATTTTCCTTCAAAGATCATATCAGTGTATGTGCCAAATGGGCGCTGTACAAGTAGGATTTCAATCTGACGGGATGATACGGGTACCAGCTGTCTTCCAACCATTCCATGAGGATTCCCAACAAATATGAACCTTTTCAGCAAAGTATCTGTCGTTTTCCCTGCTGTGCGCACTGCTTCGGCAACTTTTATGCATATGTATCATTACAGACGAAACAGGCTGTGCCATGGTGATTCTTCTTCCCTGATGTGACTTTCCACTACCTGACGTGACTTTTCTGTATCGCTGCTGTGACATGGGGATGACCTGGCTTTTTTCCGCCTGATGTGACTTAAGCACGGGGCTTGCAATAGCCAAGGCCCCTCTTCAGCGATACCCCAACATTGCGTCTTGATGCTCCAAGCGAGACCCAAAAAAATATATCAAAATATGCCATTGATTCCTGTTTTTCTTTGTTGTTTTCTATTTTTTTGGTGTTGTGTTTGCTCCTTTTTTTGTTATTATGCTTTCTTTGCTCTTTCTGCTTTTGTGTTTTCGGTTTTCTTTGTGTGATTTGTTTTTTTAATTCGTTGCTTCTCTGTTTGTCTTGCTTTTGGGCTATTTTTGTTTGTTCGGGTTTTTGGTTTCTTCGCTTTTCTGCGTGTTTTCTTGCTTTTTGTTGTTCCTTTTTTCCTTTTCTGCTTGCTTCCTTGTTCTTCCGCTCTATCACA